TTCAAACCATGTTATTTTAAATAATATTTTGTAGTATCGTAGGGATTGTAGAATCGGGATACCACCTAAAATTTTGTTGGATCGTGTAGTAATGAATAGTAGGATCGAGATACTACGAAAATTTGGATACTAGGTGGGATCGGTATCGTTTCGGCTTGATAGGATCGTAGTATCGTAAGATACTAGGATACGAATCGGGACAACCTTGCTTGAAGGAACTGATTGCGATTTTGTTGTACGGTGGGTTAATTGTTGAGCAAATTTTAGTCTTTTTTGGTTGCAAAACTGTTTTTATGGTACAGTTCATGTGAAATATCAACTTTTCCCCTGAAGTTCATTACTGGATGCCATCTTGTTTCAGAAAAAAAAAAATCTTTCTCTCCGATTTTTTGATAAATCGGATCGGATCAATAGCAACCTTCTGCAATGGGGAGGTGACTGGCTGTTGCTCATCCCACGGCCACGGAGTCACGATGCAGAGGTCCGATTGTGCTGCGACCTTCTGTGAGCCGTTGGATTCACTAGCACGGGATAGGTCTCAATCAGTGTCAGGAAGGGCTACCATCGCTAAGCAAAAGTCACTGATGTGAGAAGTTATCTTAATCGGGTATTTGACCGTCACGAATGATAATTATCTCAATCGGACTAAGCATAAGGCCCATCATAGATAGGTTTGGCCCAGCATATGAGTCAAACGAGATTAGTTATGGCACCCGCCACGGATGACGGGCATTTTACCCGTTGCAACGCACGGGCATTTTTTTAGTCCCTATAAAATTTGGGAGTATAAACTTTTAGGTATACAAACTTATTAGAAATAGAAATCATGTGGTGCCAAATATTAAAAGCGTGTGTGTTCGTGTGGGGCCTAGTCAAGCAAATGTTTGTGCTATAGCCCTTTTGTGCTATAGCCCTTTTCGCATTGCGGTTACCCTTGCCTCTATACTATAGTTTGGCCCATTTTAACGATCTTACAATTTTGTTTTTCCGATTTTCACATAAATGATGGCATGTTTGGTTAATGGGTTCTTCGAATAAATAACCACCCACTATAGCAAGTTTTAATATGAACTATCCATATTTCTCAGCTAATTTCGTCCTAACCCTTCATTCATCTCTATTTCTCAATCCCACCCTTCACAACCCATCAAAACACCCCTAAATTGTTAAAGCCTTGTTTAGCATATGTGGGGAACTTTCTCATTTCACGTTGAGTTAAAATGTTTTCTTGTGAAACTCCCATTTTCCAAAACAATACTTATATTGGAACCTTCCCGTAAAGATTTTAAAATTCACATGTTAAAACTTCAAACCGCCGTTGATGTAGAAGGAGCAAGTATTAAGATCTCATAAGATACGCACATGGAGAGCAATAACATCATTTTAGGTGAAGGACGGATGCAAGTCCTTAGTCGATATGAGATCGCAATATCCCCAAAGACCACCTTCATTTGGAGTTTGTGTAGAAGGTGCCTTTGATAAGGAGTGGTTCATCTTCATCTCTCCATTCTATTCTCTACTTTATCATTTAATCATGTGATGCCTTAGGACCAGTGCTTAAAACCTTATTAAACTTACTTTAACATACATTTCGACTTGTACTCATATCCATATCATATACAAATGTTAATGAATATGTTCTGATTTGTATTTGATCCCATATATTATGACTCTCGACTAGGGGTGAAAATGGGGCGGGTATTTCCCGATTGCCCGCCCGACCCAAGGCTCGTAGGAGTAATATGGGAGAAAAAAATGGGATACCCGATACTATCCGAGTTCGAATCCGAATTCGTTAGAAATATGGGTTAGGATACGGGAAGACATGTATCCGCCCGCATGTCCCATATTATAAAATATGTATGAAAAATCTATTATAAATCCACCTACAAACATGATAAAAGATTGGTTAATCACTATTTTACGAGCTCACATGTAATATTGTATAATTTTTTTCTTGATATATCTCTTTTAATACTTTAATTATCTTATTATATTTAATATATATGAATTAGAGATACAATATATATCCATTTCCGAATCTGATTCGAATGAAATAATATGGGATAGGACACAGGATGAGCGATATCTTATTCGGCACTAGCCATACCTGCCTCCGAATTTAAAGAAAAATATAGGTTAGGATATAGGAATGCCAATCCGACCGTATCCGCCCGTTTTCACCCGACTACCTATCAGTGACTCGCACCCGATCAAAAAAAGCATATGAAATAAAAAAAACACCAGTAACAAAAAGAAAAAGTGTTGACGACACGAGACAACATGCGTATAACTGAAGTAGCTAAAACTATACAATTCAACTAGGAATTGAACACATGAGACAATTTATAATTTGACGAGGCTATGCAATATAATTTTCTCTTGTGCAATTTGCACTGTTAATCGCACCAATACTTTCCAAGCAAGGAAAAAACAAAGAGAAAAGGAACCAACACCAACTTGACCACTTTGAAACGAGACTCGCATGGCCATGAGCACAGAAGCATGTTTTCGTGGCATGTCAGATAGCTTTGAAGATAAATTGTATAGATGTAGTGACGTTTATCTAAAGTATGGAACCACATAACCCCATACTCAAACTGGAGGGATTAAAACAGCGACATGTGTATGTAATTGATTATGATAAATCAGCCAAAATTTTAGCAAAAATTAGAGAAACATGCGTTTGCCGGGAGTCGAACCCGGGTCTATTGCTTGGAAGGCAATTATCCTAACCGTTGGACTACAAACGCAATTTTGATTATTTATATTCTCCAAAAATCTAAAGTTTGGAAACGTACAAAATGTTGATATGAATATCATAGATATACTGGTCAAGAAGTTTTCCTTTTCACATGACATGTAATACAATTGAAATTTTCCAGTGGGACATGAATGTATTTTGTAGGACTTCTGTGTGTTTGTAGATCTTCTAGTGTCAAATATTTGCATTCCGATGGTGCCCTTAAAGTTTTTCATTCTGCCAAGAGTGTAAAGTACATATAGGGTGTGTTTGGCAAATAGAATATAGGAGATGGGATTGGGAAAGGGAAATGGATGAGTGGCTAGGATTAAATGATGTGTGAAGAATGAATGGCTAGGATGCAATATTGCCCTTTGGAGTGTGGGTCCCAATCCCATTTGCTAAACAAAACCATATAAATGTAACAGCAAAGAAAGAGACCAAGCCATCTTGCGAAACTCCTAAATTGGTGCCTTTTTCCATCCCATTTCACCTTCGAAACCATTTAATTTTGCAATTATATTTTCATGTATACATTATAGAGAATGTGAAGTAAAAAGGAATTGAAGCCTTCAGAGGAATCAAACCGTGGCTATTTAGTTAGGAGAACTCTTGTCTCCCTTTTTTATTTCCCTACATAGAGCTGCTGCTGTTGTTGTTATGAGTAAAATCTATCACCGGTCCCTAAACTTGTAGCGTTGGGTCATCCCGGTCCCTAAACTCGCAAATCGACCGTTCAGGTCCTCAAACTTGTTTGACTGTGTCATCCCAATCCCTAAACTTGCAGATCACTCGTTTAGGTCCTCCAACTTGTTCAGTTGTGTCACCCCGGTCCCTAAACAGGATGGTCTAAAAACTTTATATCAAAAAATAATTCATAACTTTTTTATGTGAACTCTAATGAAGACAAACTTGATATCAAAATTGTAGCCCTCGATGCGACCTACAACTTTGTAGTTGAAAAGTTTTTGAATTAAAACTGTTTAGGGTCCCAAAATATTGTTGCATGTTTATAGATTTTGAAATTTTAATTTTAAAATTACATTTTGGGACAAAAAATTACTTAAAATAAAAAAAAATTCAACAACAAAGTTGTAGATCGCGTCGAGGGCTACAAGTTTGATATAAAGTTTGTCTTTATTAGAGTTCACATGAAAAAGTTATGAATTATTTTTAAATATAAAGTATTTAGATCGTCCTATTTGACCCAGATGATATTCAAATTCAAGTTTAGGGACCGGGGTGACACAACTGAACAAGTTGGAGGACCTAAACGAGTAATCTGCAAGTTTAGGGATCGAGATGATACAATCGAACAAGTTTGAGAATCTAAACGATCGATTTGCGAGTTTAGGTACCGAGATGACACAGCAGTATAAGTTTAGGGACAGGTGACGGACTTTACTCTATTATTATTATTATTATTATTATTATTATTATTATTATTATTATTATTTCTTACAAGTTACAATCGAACCGTAATTGTAAAGAAAAATATCATTTTAAAAATCTTAAAAATTCAATAGAAAAAAATAAATAAAAAAACCTAGATATATATTATTGCCTTAATGTCTATTTAGCAACAGTTTAACTCTTGATTCTTGTTCCTTAGAGTTAGAATTGAAGATAGAGCTAAACTAAACTTTACTATCTTTTTCAATCTTATATGAGTGAAATAGATGGATTTGCTAAAAAAATATTAAAAAATCGAGCTAACTTTTTATAAGGGCATCCACATTGTTGCTTTTTAGCCGGTAATAAGCAATACATGCTCTCTTCCTACCCGGTAGGAAGCATTGTGAGAGTGGCAAAGAGTTAAAACCTGGTCATACAGCTACTACCGATGAACAAGAGATAAACAATATTATTTGTACAGTGTTTCTGACAGAACTCGTGGGAAGGAGTCATGCAGCAGTCACGGGAATTTTACTATCGGTGATTTTTTTTTAGCTGGGCCCATCTTATTCCTCTCCAACGCGCATAAACAATGTGAAGGGTGCGATGGTTTAATACCGTCTGACCTCTTAGCCCACAGTATTGCCGAAGTCGGCAGCTAACATTGTGCTTGCCTTAACCCCAACTATATACGAGTTTATACCGGACTCCACGTAAAGAGCCAGGTAGAAATGTAGAATATGACTACAACACGTATACTGAGTAAAAGGAAATACGCCTTCTGAACCGGTTAACGGAAAAGAAGCCCGTTCGCGGTTCGCCCCTTCCAAACCGACTTCCAATCGCGCAATTCCCAAATATAAATCTGGCGACCCCAACAGAGCCGAGCTAGGGTTTCGCCTCCCCCGCCCCGCCTCCTCCTCCTCCGCACCGCGCGAACCGACCCGACCCCCACTTCGCCGCCGCCGCCGCAGCCGCAGCCGCGATGGGGACGGAGCGGAAGCGCAAGGTGAGCCTCTTCGACGTGGTCGACGAGACCTCCGTCTCCGCCAAGCTCGGCCGCGCCGCCACCACCAACGGCTCGGCCGCCGCCGCCGCGGCCAACCCGTCCATCAATCGGTGGACGGGGAGGCCCTACTCGGCGAGGTACCTCGAGATCCTCGAGAAGCGCCGCACGCTACCCGTGTGGCAGCAGAAGGACGATTTCCTCGCCGTCCTCCGCGACAACCAGACCCTCATCCTCGTCGGAGAAACCGGAAGCGGCAAGACCACTCAGGTATTGAATCTGTCCCTGTGCCTGTACATCTCAACATTGAACTGTAAAAGTATTTTAGGTTTGTCGTTATTGGTTGTTTATTAGGGGATCGTTATTGGTTAGGTTTTGTTTGTGTATTGAGATGTGATGATATTGTGTTATATGATTAGGGGATATTTTTCCCCTAGATACTAGTGGCATGGAGCTATGGTAAATTGGTTAGATTTTGTTTATGTATTGATGTGTGACGCTGTGTCAAGGTTTTTGGTTGCTATATGGGTGCCTTATTGATGATTTGTTCTTGGGGATTAATTCGTTTTCTGTTGATCAGATTCCCCAATTCGTGCTCGAGGCTGAAGGCTTGAGCAACCGCTCAATGGTTGCTTGCACCCAGCCGCGGAGGGTGGCAGCTATGTCAGTTTCCCGGCGTGTTGCGGAGGAGATGGATGTTACTATCGGGGAGGAAGTTGGTTACAGCATCCGTTTTGAGGATTGCAGCAGTCACAAAACAGTTCTCAAGTAAGCCTTAGTTTGTTTATGTTTAATGGAAGAACATGATTAGTTGCACATCCTTTGGCAGATTGATATGGTGCGGATGTTTCTTTCTTTTTTAGGTATTCTGATCTAATCATGTTGTGTTGAACACTATTGCTTCCTATCAGATATTTGACAGATGGTATGCTTCTGAGAGAAGCTATGGCAGACCCACTTTTAGAGAGGTACAAGGTGATTGTTCTTGATGAGGCCCATGAGCGGACATTAGCAACAGATGTTCTGTTTGGGCTTCTGAAGGAGGTTCTAAAGAACAGACCTGATTTGAAGCTTGTTGTTATGAGTGCTACCCTTGAGGCTGAGAAATTTCAGACCTATTTCAGTGGTGCACCGTTGATGAAGGTGCCTGGGAGACTTCATCCGGTTGAGATCTTCTATACACAAGAACCAGAAAGGGACTACCTGGAAGCTGCTATCAGGACAGTTGTTCAGATACATATGTGTGAACCTGCTGGAGATATCCTTGTTTTCCTTACTGGAGAGGAGGAGATTGAGGATGCCTGTCGGAAGATAAATAAGGAAATTAATAACATGGGGGATCAGGTTGGCCCAGTTAAAGTTGTGCCTTTGTATTCTACGCTGCCTCCAGCAATGCAGCAGAAGATTTTTGAACCTGCTCCAGCCCCATCAAGAGAGGGAGGCCCAGCTGGAAGGAAAATTGTTGTGTCCACAAATATTGCTGAGACATCCCTAACCATAGATGGTATAGTGTATGTGATAGACCCAGGGTTTTCCAAACAGAAGGTTTACAATCCAAGGATAAGGGTGGAGTCCCTTCTGGTGTCGCCAATTTCAAAGGCAAGTGCACATCAGAGAGCTGGTCGTGCTGGAAGAACGCAACCTGGGAAGTGTTTCAGGTTATATACAGAGAAGAGTTTTAACGATGATTTACAGCCACAGACATACCCAGAAATTCTTAGGTCAAATCTGGCGAATACGGTTCTTACCTTGAAGAAGCTTGGAATTGATGATTTAGTGCATTTTGACTTTATGGATCCTCCTGCACCAGAAACTTTGATGAGGGCCTTGGAAGTTTTGAACTACTTAGGGGCACTTGATGATGATGGAAACCTCACGCCTTTAGGTGAAACAATGAGTGAATTTCCTCTAGATCCCCAGATGTCAAAGATGCTTGTCATCAGTCCAAAATACAACTGTTCAAATGAGATCCTTTCAATATCTGCCATGCTGTCAGGTATGTCAAACAAAACTTCATGTCGCCATATGGTTTGTCAGCTAAATTATATAGTGCGTAATAATAACACCCGCACAATTTTGCTTGCATCAATTGCACATTGTAGAAAGCTTACAAGCTTCTTATCATGAGAGTTTGCATCCACTTTAGTGCATTTGCTCTTCCAATATGCTTTATTAATTCTTTCAGAGCTGTAATCAGCAACTGTCGTGCACCTAGCTTCTTGAGCTATTGATCAAAATGATCATACAGTTTAGGCTGATGCAGATAGTTGCTGTTTGTTGAGTTATTCTGACAAAGCAAATGGTATCGTCTCGCCTCTTTGCATCTGCTGACCACCATGGACTTCGTCTGTTATTGCCGTATTCTTTCTCTAGTACCCAATTGCTTTCTCCGGCCTAGGGAGGCACAGAAGGCTGCTGATGAAGCGAAGGCTCGATTTGGCCACATTGACGGGGACCACCTGACACTTCTGAATGTATACCATGCATACAAGCAGAACAGTAAGTTCATGACCATTTTCGTTCAATCTACACTGATATCCATTTCATTGCCTAACAGTTGTCTTTTCGACAATGCAGATGAAGATCCCCAGTGGTGTTATGAGAACTTCATCAATGCCAGAGCTCTAAAGTCAGCTGATAATGTCAGACAACAGCTTGTTCGCATCATGACCAGATTTAACCTCAAGATGTGCAGCACAGACTTCAATAGTCGGGAGTACTACGTCAATATCAGGAAAGCCATGCTTGCAGGGTACTTCATGCAGGTTGCTCACCTGGAGCGAACAGGACATTACCTGACCGTCAAAGATAACCAGGTTGGTATTAATTTTCTGATGCCCAGTCTCTTTGTGTACAGGATGATGAAATTGCAGATTTCTTACTCTTTGTTGTGCTCAGGTTGTCCATCTTCACCCCTCGAACTGTCTAGACCATAAGCCGGAGTGGGTCATCTACAATGAGTATGTTTTGACCACCAGAAATTTCATCCGCACGGTCATGGATATCCGTGGTGATTGGTTAGTCATTATCTGGCAGACAGCTAGTCCTTTTATGAGTATTGAAGATTTGAAAGAATTTCTGACATGTTTGTCCTTCATGTGCAGGCTGATTGATGTGGCTCCACACTATTATGATCTTAGTAATTTCCCCTCGTGCGAGGCAAAGCGCGTCCTTGAGAGGCTGTACAACAAGCGGGAGAGGGAAAGAGCTGCTAATAGGAACTGAAGTTGATGGCGTTTTCCCCTTGCGCTAGCCTTCCACTCGAGAAGATTCGGGTATATCAGCTTGTCGTGCCGGCGCCAACAATGGATGCTTCCTCATCCTATCGTATGATTTGGCTTGATGGATGCTCGTCACTACGTATGACATGCCAAATGCTGCTCTCTAGCCGTACAATCTACCAGCAATGGCCTAGGATCATATTTTTGTTTCTTTTAGAAGTTGTAGCCTGTGACGCAGGATATTATGTACCGGTCTCCCATATTTTGATGGTTCTGGCACCCTTTTATTTCGGCATATTTGTTTCGTGTTTGGTTAGTCTTAAAAGTGAAATGTGCATCATTGCTACCTTAGCCCGACTTTCTTTCGATAGTGTCAAATCAAAGGAAATTTTACTTTAGGTCGCATTTTATTACCGATGTTTCATTTTGAATCACCTTTAAACTAATATTTTTACTTGATTGGGTTTTCACTTTGGACCAGGTAATTTTATCTTTGTTACACTTTGCAGCCAACTACAACCCGGAACACAGATTTCAAAACGCTGAGTGTATGATAGATACATATTTCAAAACGCTGAGTGTATGATAGATGAGATCATGTATTAATGATGTAGGAGATATATTAGTTATAGATGATTTGGAGTTGATAGTTGACTGTACCATTCAATTTGCTCTAAAGAGAATCAAGATATGCTGCTTGTTGCTTTATTACCACATTAGAGAAGCGGAACAGCGCAAGATGAAAATGTGTTTTCAGAAGTAAAATCATGTTAATAAAAAAACAAAAATGTTAATAGTAGAAATCGTAGAAATAATAGCTTGTCAGCATGCGAATATTCATGAGCTTTATTACCACATTAGAGAAGCGGAACCGCGCAAGATGAAAATGTTTTTTCAGAAGTAAAATCATGTTAATAAAAAAAATGTTAATAGTAGAAATCGTAGAAATAATAGCTTGTCAGCATGCGAATATTCATGAGGAAGGAGGAAGGATTGAATAGTTTTCAGGCTCCCCTCTGTCTTAAATTTCCCAATAGAAGTATAGTTTGGACGTTTGGTACGAGACGAAATATTTGGTTATCATGTGTACATGATTCAATACAAAATAACAACTCAAAACGCAGGCGAACAAAATATTTACCCAGCTTGCACCAAGCTAACAACGTTATTTCGAGAAGGGTCAAAAGAATAATATTCTTACATGTTTCCACTATCCTATTTCAAATCTCAATCTCAACGGGCCAAGAGGCCAAGAGAGAGAAGTTTCTATAGCCAACGAGCTCGCTTACATATGCATTTCAATTTTCAACGGCTATACAGGCATATATCTACTTCATTATATTCCCATTTGGGGTTTAATGCTACATGTTACACTCTCCCTGATCATTTTTTGTTCTGCATCCCGACTCCTTTTCACCATGTAACACTCATAAAAAACGAAGCTCAGGGTGAAACAATGGAAGTCTCCAAGCCGTGAAGGTAATCAAATCAGCTTTGCAGATGCCACATAAGGCCAACTATAGGACTTGCTAGTATCCTGCAACGCCAACTATAAGAAATGATAAAGAATATAGCGCCACTGAAATTGCAATTCCCGCCACAAAATTGTACGAGAGGCGCTTGTTGTCACGACTAGGCACAAATGCGATCTTCAAGGTGTTAGTCAACTCAAATAGCCTATGGGAGACCTGTAGGAATAAGTTATAACATAAGCAGGTTGCCTGTAAGGTCTAAACTCTTCAAAGTCACAGGGAAGATCTACTTACTGCAACATATATAGCAGTTGTGAGCATGAAATTCAGCATTGGGTAATTTGGGATTATTGTCAATAGCCATTTAGGTTGCCCATTGGGCACTTTTGATCTGCAGGAGTAAAGACAATTTTCAGTCATTGACAAGAACAAGAGGAACTTCTAGTGGCACGAACCACGGAGGTAATATTGTAGAGACAGCAGCTGGTTACCTGAGCCAAATATGGAACTGTGATATGTACGTTTCTAAGGTAATCTTTCCGAGCCAGCTAGCACAGATGAAGAGTACATTAATTGCATATTCACAATATCGCATTACAGTAAGATAAAGTCCAACATAAAAGTGGAACATGCTTCACAAACACAAAACTTACGCAAATAGTGTGAGAGAGCAGCACCGGAATTCTTGAGTGAAGTTGCGTAAGCAGATGTACACACTTTTGAGTACAATAAGCATTGAGCAATCAGTTATTGCAGTACACCAAGGATTTTTTTTTATAAAAAAAATCGATATGGAAAAAATACATACGTTATGGGGATCCAGGATGTATAGGGATGGTATTTGTTGTAGGTAATCTTGTCTAGCTTATAAATGTACTCGTACCACAAACAACCAGCCTGTGATCACAGTAAAGCAAGGTGGTCTTACCAAAAGATGGATATGCAACAATAAGTGGCTTATTCAGTTATTTGATAATTACCGTTAAAGCAATTGAAACTATCAAGGCCTTAATATAGAGTTTAGTTTTCGTTTCAGCTTCTTCAAGCTTCTCCATCCACTTCTCAACCTGCAACACAAACAAATGATTTATTGATGTAAAATACTATTCTCTCGTATGCCCACAATTTTACAAATGACTCAACACCCTCAAAACTGAAAGAACCAGAAAATTTATATCAGCACATTTCTCTCACACATGCATATGCGCAGGCGCGCAGAGACATGCACTCATACAAACAACTTTTATGCGATTTATGAAATTTGATAAAACTAAAGAAATAGAACATCTATAACTGAACACTATGTAAAAGTATAGCACAGTTGGCAGGAAACATACAGTTGGATGGTAATAAGCATAAATCATCCCCACAATCCATATGTAGCGATCCAGTCCAGATCGGAAATGCCACTCATGCAATCGAGGGAGATCAGGTTTAGATGGATCAGTATAGCCTGCACACAAGGTAAATTACATTGATCATCCTTACTAAAAATATATATATAAACTATCAAACTCACTAAAAGTTTACAGAGAAAACTTACCGAGAAGAAACGTGAATGGGCTCCAGACAATCTCGAAGACTCCTGGGATTTCCCATATCAGGATAACCACCAAAAAGCAGGCAACAAACTTTATAGCCATCACTGATCCAATCTCGTTATACTTATTTAGTATTCCAAGAGCACCATAAACCATAAGGGTAAAAAGTGTGTGCATAGGGCAAATATAATAGAGGGTGTAGTCATTATTTAGCACAATACAACAGAATGCCACGAAAAAATTGAGGCGCCACATCATCTGTCAAGGTGAAAACATGTCAGGAAGGTCCTACTTATGGAAGAAAGAATGAAGGGGAATGAAGGGTCTAAGAATGAACCTGAGCAAATCGTGCAAGGCTGAAATCCTTCCGCACATAATAATAGGAGAAGTTACCAAATCCAGTCATCCAGACATATGCAGCAATGAACACACGAATTGCATTGTATATCTCTTTAGCATTGAAGTAGTGGTACATCAAAAACAGCACCTGAATGAGGGAAATCAATGCTGAAAACAAGTGATATGCATGCACTTGAACATAGATGAAAAACTTACTAACCACACATGTATGCTATTGAGGCATTGAGCATTGACTAATTAACTTACTAAAACTAAGAGAGGTTCATTAATGAAGACTAGGTAAGCATACATGTAGAACAATATGACAAAAGATGTTTAATAATGAACACATTTATATCCTCTTTGCATAGTTCTGAGTTCTGAGTTCTGATAAATTAGTATTATGCACAAACGGAAACCAACAATATGACAAAAGATGTTTAATACTGAATGCATTTATACCCTCTTTGCATAGTTCTGACTTATGATAAATTAGTGTTATGCACAAACAGAAGCCAACTAGTATAAGATACCCCATAAATATATGAAAAGGAAGACGGAGTTTTTTTTCCCCAAAAAAGATACCTGCATCCAACCCTTCCATTCCTCAGTTTGGTGCCTATTCAGATACAGTATAGATTTCCCCGTGAATGACGACTTGTCTTGGTGGACCTTGAAAGAAGTCATAGCTGCTACGATAATAAGAAGAAAGTAAAGGAAAAGGAACATATCTCGGCTGTAATTCTGCAGATACAGGATAACAGAAAAGGTCAGAACAAAAAATGTCCCATTGAAAGAACAGCACATTATATAGGCACTTTCCATGAAATATTAGTAAGGCTTAGAATGTATTCGTAAAAGATATCTCAACTAGATACAATATTTTTGCAACTACTTTTCAAACGTGAAATCAGGCTTGTAATAAACATCAATGTAATAGCACCTTCGCAGACTCTCCCAGTAGATTTGTGCGATCACATATGTAAAAGTAAAGCAGATGACCTCCAAACTCAGATCTGAAAAAATAATAACTGCTCAGCCAAATAATGCAACATAGAAGAACACGTGAATGCAAGATGCAGCTGTAGCTTACATTGCTCTCAACGTCAATCGATTCTCTAGAATAAGTGCCTGGTCCAACAAGAAAAGTCTGTGCAACAGATTATCTTTGTCAGTGCCTTAGTAATGTTGATATCTCAACGTTTATATACAACATGAAGGAGAAATCATACATCACAAACAACCTGAACATTTGTGATGTGAGAGAAGCATAAACTGGCTTTTGCACTGGTGCTTGGACACCCTCCTCCAATAACATCACTTGATCCTCTCCTTTGTTTGAGCTAGAATCCATTACTGCTAAATTTACATCCGAGTGTCTACTAACAAAGATAAAGAAACAGAAATTCCAATAAGTGGTACATTTCAAGCAAAATAATGGTGCAGCACACATTCAGTCCAGACGAAGTACGACTCTTGAGTTATGCTTCTTGTAACATAAGTAGATATTTCAATCTCAGTGGCAACATGAGAGTATATCACTTAGCATATACGAAAATTAAAATGCATGGATACCAGAACTGTAAATATAGCTGTCACAATTACTTACGCTTTAATAGAAGCAGCATTCTTCCTATAATAGAGAACCTCCGCATATGCCCAGGCGGTGAAAACCCAAAGAAATCCCAGAAGAGCAGAGACCTGTCAGAAAGTTGCCAGCTATCTCAGATCCAGTGATTGAGGACCCCCAAAACAAAATCCTACTATTAGAAGAATATCACTCAGTCATCTGTATAGTAGACAATAGTTCTACGGCTTTCAAGTTGCAATCAAACACTGTAATTGTGTTATTTGAACTTGTGGGGTAAAAGTAGCTCATCATAGTCCGGATTCTTGCAATCCACACCAATATGTATTTCTGCAACTAAATTACTATCTAGTTTTAGTATTTTTACCAACCTGAACTTCCTAACAACTACCAAAGTAAGGAACAACCGTGCGCTAGAAAATCAAGCAGATTGACACCAATTCTAACAGGTTGGTCAGCACATCGATACTGCTACCATCTCTTAGAAAATATAACAGAATAGCCCATGCTGCCAGATCTTAATGACGGTCTTACTCTAACATCCAATACCTCCAGATCTGAAACCGCAGCCACTTACGAATTTCCAACCTTAAACCCTACATATAAGCTATTATATCGCCAATTTTCCAACAGCTCGGATGAATGAAACCTCCACCATATATTTGGTGCTACTAGCCTACCATACAAAAGCACAGCTATGACCTGATGATTTACACCCTTTGATCCACATCCCTGAAACCAGCCACAAATTCAAATCCCGCATCAGCCAAAATAGTTAGCCTCCTATCCGAATACCACCGAATCCTAAAACCTAGCACTAATACTTGTCGTATCAACAAAAAAGCAAACCAGACAACCAACCGATATCCACAACCATCTCACCGATCATCACCCAATCCCGCCAATTTAGCCAACAGCAGCGTTAAAGCAACACAAGCTCCCGCCAGAGATTCCACGCGCATGCCATCATCTCCAGCGCGCTTCCTCCCAGTCCCAGCCACCTAAACCCAAAACCCAAGCCGCACTTCCGCGGCCGCGGCCGCGCCCGGCGCCCGGCACACGGGCGATGCCTTCCCATTCCCCCCGACGAAATCCTTGAGCCACCTCGCCAACCGCGGATTCCCCCGACGAAATCGCCTAGGGGGCAGCAAATGCCGCGCGGTCCCCGCACCCGCACCAACAACAGAGCAGCAGCCCCCCCCTCCCCGGATCGACGGTGCGATTTAGGGCTCACCTGGCCCGGCGTGAGGGAGGTCGAGGCGGCCATGGCGATCCCACCCGCGGACGCGATCGCCTCCGCCATTCTCTCTACAGCATCCGCCCCGCCTCCTTCCTGCGCCGCTCGGATCCAGCCGCGTACAGGAGCCGAGCAGAGAAGAGAAGAGAAGAAGAGAGGGAGAGGACGAAGAAAATTAGGTGCGAAGAAAAAAAAAAAGAGAAGCGCGGTTTAAAGCGGCGGGTGGATGTGCGCGTCGTACGAGGGAGCGCGAGCTTGCCGACGCTGCCATGTGGGACCGAGCAAGAGATTCCACGGTCACTGACAGTGGGGGCAGTGAGGCATTTCAGAGCTTGTGGGCCCCACACGCCATCGGATTTGCGAGTGACGGTGTAACTAAACGGATGCTTAGTTTGGTCGATTTAGGTGAGAAGAAGAAGAAAGAAATATTTCCGTTTTTATTATTTCTCTCTTTACACGAAAATTGCAGCTTTGTAGATTACAGGATTGCCCCTGTCGGTCGGCGAGATCTTGTTGCACTTGCACCCCTCACTCACTCTGCTAGTCTTCTTAATTCCTTCGCGTTTAGTACTTGTGTTTGCGTTTTTCGATGATTATCACTAACTTAATCTCCCCGCAAAGAAAGGCACTAACTTTAATCGGTAGTACTGCTCCGTTTCTTGGATTTCGATGCACATCAATTCGTCAGAGCATCCTGTCTGTAGTGAATAGCTCGCCTTAATTAAGAATCAAATTCGGAATTTGAGATGGTTAGCAGCGCAGATGCCCAACTGGAAGTCAACTACGGCAACAGATGGTGATTTTCTCGATCAAAAGCCCATAGTTGTAATTGACGTGTGTTGAGCGGTTTATGCGATCTGAATCAAAGCGATAAGCTGATAACAATGGCCTCTTTTTTTCTCATAGTTGGCTTGTAATATGCGTCTACGTGGAGTATACAAAACGCCATTAATCGGCTTTTTTTCACCTGGGAAGTGGGAACATGTTTGCCCAGGGGAACAGGAAATAGGATTTTTATGTTCAGTGCGAGAGTCACTAGTCTCGTCGGTAGTTGGTATGCGCCCTAACCCACCAACTAGGATGCATGTCATACAGATGCAATGGAGCTAGCTTAGTACAGGACTTCGGCTGCGTTCGATCGTCGCTTTTAGATGTTAGTTTTGCTGTCACGTGAAATTAGATGTGTGATTAGCATATAATTAATCGAGTATTAATTGTTACTCCCTCCGTCCCATAATATAAGGGAATTTGAGTTTTTACTTGCAACGTTTGACCACTCGTCTTATTTAATTTTTTTTAAAATTATTATTTATTTTATTTGTGACTTACTTTATTATGCATAACTTTTTGTTTTTTATATTTGCAAAAAAAAGTTTGAATAAGACGAATGGTCAAACGTTACAAGTAAAAACTCAAAATCCCTTATATTGTGGGACGGAGGGAGTCAAACTTAGAAGTATTTTTTTAAAAATAACTTCTATATAAAAAAACTTTCACAAAAATACGCAATTTGATAAACATGCTAACAGAAAAAACGAGTAAGTTGTAGTTTAGATTTGGAGCTTTAGAACGGGACCTTCGTCTATTTGTGGTGATGCAGTGCCAAACAAGTATTTTCCCTCCATGTCAAAATAAGTAGCTGTATAATTCAAATTTAAACTACACAACTAGATTTATTTTTGGATAGAGGTAGCATGATGGTAACCTGATGGTGATAGTAAAAAAGAGAGAAAATGACTTGTGTGAATATTCCTTTGAACTTGTATTCGTGGATACAATTTATATAATTGATCAATTGTTGATAATGAAACTTAATTAGTGCTTCTTAGCAATAATATACTTGGCATGAGCATGTGTATGCCACTCTTCTCCAAAAGAAAAAAAAAAGAAAAACCTCAAAAGTCATACCCACACAAAACAAACCTTTTAAAGTACAGAAATTTAAAATGATTTTCATGAAAATTAGTTAGAAAAGTGTGAATCCACGTAAAAGAGAATAAAGGGCCTATAGCCAAGTGGTTAAAAGAGTCTCAGTAGTACCTTAGGTCCTGGGTTCGACTCTCCATGAGAGTGATTTTTTCAGGATTTAACGGCTTTTGTGCTTTCAGTGGTAGGCGACGCCCAGTCTTCGAAGATGCTCATAGGGGTAGGGATCACCAGTGACAAGTTCTTCCTATGAGACGGAGGTGATTAGGGAGTTGATGTGCGGTAGGCGCAACATGCCGCCAATAACCAACCCAAAGCTACCTCGCCACGAGCTCGTCCCCAACCATCCCCTCCGCAATGCCATCCACAAGTTACATCTCCGTCACGCCATGCGAAACAAGTAGCCCGTTGGCGGCCACCCTTTTCCCCACCTCTCATTACCCTCTCGTTATTGCTCGGAGGCCTAGTGACAGATAGGAAAGATAGGAAGATGAGGAATAATACCACTTACGACCCTTTCAGTTTGCAATGGTCGTTGCCCTTTCTAATCTACCGTGGCCTCATCCCATCGATCGCCACCCCTCTCCAAGTCGTTGCCCTTTCTAATCTACCGTGGCCTCATCCCATCGATCGCCACCCCTCTCCAAGTCGGTGACTGTCCTTCTTCCCACCACTTGTCGCCTCCTCACAGGGCCAGCTCTAGGTCTAGACAAGTTGTGCAACCGACTAGGACCCAGAGTGAATGGGGCCTATCCTAATGTAATGTAGGTCAAGAGTAAATAGCTGAGCAGTGTGCCTTCAATCAACTGATGTATGGACTTCTTGATGACCTATCCCATTCCAGTCGTCTCATCCCGAGGCCAAAGGCGTCGAGCGGGAGCAACTCGCCGTCATCGCCGACGACTCCTTTTCGACAGACAACAGTAAATGTGTCTCTTCCTTTGATCAACAATTCATCTCAGTTCTCTCTTCTACTCTTGCCTGGACCGTACGCTCGTAGCAGGCAGCAGTGTGGCACCCAGCCGGCCAGGCCAAAGAGCGCAGGAAGCAAAGTAGCGGCAGCCTTGATTGAAGACTATGTGCATAGGTACATTTACATACTAGCAGTAGATTTTATTTCTCAATTTATAAATAATCATAGAAGATGATATATCCTACTCCCTCTGGTTTCATTTTAATTGACGTTTTGGAGAATGACACAGTCTATAGTTTATATGTTTGACCTTATTTTTCTATTATAATATATATATAATAAATAAATATATGCTTACTTTTATTATAGTCCTTTGAAAGAGAAATCTATATACGTTATTCTAGTTTCTTTAAACTAAATATTTTTAAACTTATTTATGGTTAAAGTTATAAAAGTTTGACCTCAATCTTGTCCAAAACGTCAATTATTATAGAACCAGAGGGAGTATCTGGTTAAGATGATACATCCTATCGGGCTTTTAGGTCAAGATTTTTAGTGTTCTTGCCTTCTATTTTCCTTTCTAATTGCAGTTGTAAGATTTTAATCCGTTAGATGATGATGATAATTGTGATGTGTTGTAGTGAAAAGAATATTTTGGACAATATTGAGCACAATATTGTTCTTAATGATTTTGAATAAAGAAATGAGTAAATTTCACAATGGTCTGCCTTTTCTTACCAATGTTTTACATTGGGCTAGGGTTAGGTCAAAATTTTCACTAACACCATATATATTTGCCAAGAGTTGCACTTTGGGCTAGGCTCCAGGATTTGAGCCCATCTGGATGAGCAGACATCTTCTCCCTCCCACAAGGGCATGCGCAACCTCGCCGCCGCCACTTCTGTCGCTGGTCGGGAGTTGAGTGCAAGGGGACACGATGGGGGTTAGCCAAGGAGAAGGGCGATGCAGCAGGCACTGCTCTGTTGTTGTTTTCCCTTGCTGTCCAGTAGTTCAAGGGGCTGACGAGATTGGCTAGAGGATAGAGATTAAGCGCGCCGGCGAAGTGAGTGGCGGAGTGGTTATTGGAAGGAAAAGCGTTAGAGTTGGGGACAACGGCCATGGCCATGAAGCTGACAGTGGCAGAATCAAGGTCAATGAAACAACATTAGGGGACAAGTGCTTGTTCTTCTTCTCCAGCTCTAGCATGGGATTGACATGAAGCTCGTTTCGCGTGTGATTGACATATCCAGTTGAATTAGGGGCAGGGCATAGCAAACGGTGGAGAAGCTGTGCTCCAGAGTTGGAAGGAGAGAGGAGGCTCCCAGCTTGCCCATTTATCTCCTAATCTCGCTGACAAGTGAGCCACCGGTCCAAACTGAAATTTTTTGCTGTAAGACCTAGCCTAAAGTGAAAACATTGTCTATAGGATGGTCCAAACTAGAACTTTGGTAAATATAACTAGACCAATGTGCAATTTACTCTAAAGAAATTCCAGAAGTTCTTTTTTAATCACATATTGGATATTTGCCGTTTTCTCTTTTTGAAGCATCGTCAATAAAGTTGTTGGAGTTTAGTGGTTATTTGCCGTTTTCTCTTTTTTTCAATTTTTTTCAATGAAGCATCAACGCTATTTATCGATATTAAGACCATATTGCAATGTCACGTTAGGGGATTAATGGATTATAATGTGTCTTATAACTAAAAGGAAATATCTAGTCTAAGGGACTATTGTTTCGAGTTTGCATAGGGTCCTAGAAAACGTAGTAGCTTTGCCCCCTAGTTTGCTACATCTCTATCTATCAGACGGCTTGGTGTTTTCCGTCGGCTGCCGGTCGAAGGCTTGGTGAGAATGTGAGAGATGGGAAGAGAGGGAAGAGGGAGGATAGAGGAGGAAGAAGAGGTGGTTGTTGACATGTGGGGCCTATTGGACACGTCAGTCAAAATCGGGTATTATAAACCTCGGATACACTGTTTTGCAAGTTAAGAGACGTGCTACAATTGGTATCGCGGTACAAGAATGTAACTTGAACTCGGCGTCAAGATAAGGGACCTAATATGAACTTATTCCACCATAAAAAAAAGAACTTATTCCACGATGGAAAGCTCTTCTTGCGTTCAGCAGCCAGTAGCCCAACAAGGCCCATTGTTCGGGTTAAACGAACCCAAAACCGTACGAAAGCCCGAGAAAATTGCCTTCGTCTGCGCCCCGCGGGCTCTCGTCCCAACCGCTCACCGGCTTCCCGCGGCGGCGGCGGCGGGGCTCCATGCTCACGGTGACCCTCCTGGACGCGCACCTCGCGCGGTGCAGCTCGGCGCGCCACCTCCTCCAGATCCACGCCCAGTTCGTCGCGTCCGGTCTCCTCGCCGACGCCTTCGCCGCCAGCCGCCTCATCCTCTTCACCACCTCCACCCGCCTCCTCCCGCTCCCGTTCCACCACTCGCTCCGCCTCCTCCACGTCGTCCACCGCCCCAACGCCTTCTCCTGCAACATGGTCCTCAAGGCGGCCCGCGAGCATGGGCTGCCGCACCTGTGCCTCCCGCTCTACGCGTCCATGTCCGCGGCCCCCGACTGCTACACCCATACCATCCTCGCCGCCGCCTGCGCCACCAGGAGGGCCATCGAAGAAGGCCGCCAGGTGCACTGCCACGCCGTCAGGCACGGGTTCGGGCGCAACCTGTACCTCGCGAACGCGCTGATGAGTATGTACTCCGCGTGTGGGTGCCTCGGCGACGCGCGCAAGGTGTTCGACGCGGGTCCTGTTTGGGACGCCGTTTCTTGGAACACGATCCTGGCCGCGTACGTGCAGGCTGAGGATGTGGACCAGGCGGTTGGGGTGTTTGCACGGATGCCTGAACGGGGTGCTGCGGCGGTGAGTTCGATGGTGTCGCTGTTTGGGAGGAGAGGAATGGTGGACGAGGCGAGGAAGGTGTTTGATGTGGTGGAGCGCAAGGATGTTTTCACGTGGACTGCGATGATTTCTTGCTTTCAGCGGAATGGCAAGTTTGCAGAGGCGTTGGCTTTGTTCTCAGATATGCGTGGGGAGGGGTGGCCTGTGGATGAGGCAGTCATGGTCTGTGTTGTCGCTGCCTGTGCACGGTTGGAGGTAACTCGGAATGGGGAGATGTGTCATGGGCTGGCTTTCAGAGCTGGCCTTGGCTCGAGGTTGAACGTCCAGAACGCATTGATCCACATGTACTCAAGTTTTCTGAATGTTGTTGCGGCACGAAGATTGTTTGACAGTGGCCAGTGTTTGGACCAGTTCTCTTGGAACTCGATGATAGCTGGCTATCTTAAGAATGGCTCTGTCAAGGATGCAAAGGAATTGTTCACTGTAATGCCTGACAAAGATAATGTTTCTTGGACTACAATGATATCTGGTTGTGTGCAAAATGACCAGTCCTCAGAGGCACTCACTATTTTCAACAACATGCAAGCCCAAGGAATCAAGCCAGATGAGGTTACGCTTGTAAGCGTCATCTCTGCATGTACTAATATGTCTTCTCTCGAGCAAGGCAAGTCAATGCATGAGTACATAAGGGAACACCAATATACCATCACAGTCATACTTGGGACTAGCCTCATTGACATGTACATGAAGTGTGGGTGCTTAGAATCTGCATTAGAAGTCTTCGATACAATGGAAGAAAGAGGAACACCTTGCTGGAATGCTGTCATTGTGGGGCTGGCCATGAATGGTCTGGTGATGAAGTCCCTTGACATGTTTTCGGAGATGGAATCATCTAGCACTGCCACTCCAAATGAGATAACTTTCACTGGAGTTTTGAGTGCTTGCAGACATGCTGGCCTAGTTGAGGAGGGCCAACATTTCTTCAAGTTGATGCAGCACAAGTATCACATTATCCCAAACATCAGACATTATGGATGCATGGTGGATCTTCTTGGACGTGCTGGATATGTCAAAGAGGCAGAGAATCTGATTGAGAGCATGCCCATGTCACCAGATGTTCCAGCATGGGGTGCTTTGCTTGGTTCCTGCTGGAAACATGGTGATAATGAGGTTGGAGAAAGGGTGGGGAGGAAGCTTGTCAATCTAGATCCTCACCATGACGGGTTCCACACTATGCTATCTAACATATATGCTTCAGAAGGAATGTGGCAACATGTAAAGGACCTAAGGGGCTCCATGAAACAATGGCATGTCCCAAAAATTCCTGGTTCTAGTGTGGTTGAATCATCACTACCTTTGTGAGAATATATCATATGATGGTACTTGAAATCAGAATACAGTGCTTAGAGTGGTTTGACTCAAGTTTCATAAGGTACTGAGCCGATCCTTAATTCCTTATCAGCAGAACTAGTGTTCTAGCTATCTTATGAGTTGCTTTGGTAGCTTGTCATTCAAATAATCTTTCTTCTGTCTATTTTTTCACATGTTTTTAGATAATGTATATTTTTCACATAAGCTAAAAGTTTTTGTCTGCCATTAATTTTCACAACATTCATCTTTTGATCATTCACCTGAAGTCAGATATAACCTCAGTCGCTCCCTCCTCATTTCTGCAAAGGTAACATCCATCCATCTGGCACCATGAATAAGTAGCCACCCACTACATGGTCATGACTCCTTTTTTGCATTTAGCCATGCATAATGGTGCTTATGTATTATTTATTTATTAATTTGTAATCTATGGTGAATTCAATCTATGATGGGGACTAATACTTCTGCATTATTGAAGGCATGGAGCACATGAGAGTGAGGGTGGTCTACTTCACCAAATTAAGGAGAGTAACTGTCTGTTTATATGAATATATCAGGGAGCTTGGTGAAGGGAGGAGGGAAGAATAAGGAAGCAAGGATGGCCTGTTATTTATAGTTAGCAGATGACAGATTAACGCAGGCAGACTACCCAAGCTCCTAAATGGTACGATTTTTGCAAAAAACTTTCTTCATCAACATTTCTTAGATAACTTGTTTAAATCAACTTCCAATATTTAATTATGCCCTCGAATAATTGTCATGAACTCTGTGTCATCCATCACCCATCATCTATTTAGGGTGGGATCTTAAGGGGTGCAATAAGCTTGCAACCTTTATTGGTATGTTTAGCTTTGTCGTTGGAAGTTTTGAAGTTGGGACAACATGTTATCACACTTATTGCACTGGAAAACAATAAAGAGAAGATCTGTAGATGTTTTTTTTTCCATAGAGAAAAGAGGAATGTAGGTCAATTCCGTTGTTTTGTTTCTAAGGCATTTGTTTGTTACAAAATATGTCCATGTTAATTATTATGAATTTATGATGTACAAGTTGCAGCCGTACAGGCAGCTAGCTAGCTGGTTAAGCATGATTGACACATTTCTGGTTCAGCGATCTTATTCAGTATTAAATTCAAGTCTAAAGAGGCTTATATTTAAGGTGAACAACACTCAAAATTTACTGTTGTGCATATTGACGAAACTAAGTAATTCCAAACAAATTTTGCAAGAAGATAATCATTTTGTATTGACTTTCTAACAAAGAAGAATTTACGGTGTGAAATGTGAGATGAGATCCACCTTGACAAAGTGATAGATGACCTGCTAAATTAATTATTGGACTGAGGGGATTTCATTATATGACAAAGTGAAAGTGACTGGCCTATCTTAAAACTGCACGGGCAAATACTACTGGAAGAGTTTTTCTGTCAGTTCCTTGCATATGACTAGAAAAATATGGAACACTCCTCCCTATTTTATATTTTAAAATGAAGTAGAGATCAAATGCAGAACAACTTTGGCACCACCATACCATTATCTCCCTTGAGGGGAAAAAAGAATTCAAAGTCTTATTGACTTTTGACTAACATAACAAATGCATGGAGAAATAATACAGGTTTAATTGACAGAACGATAATCATAGCTAAAGGGAAAAAAAGAATACAAGTCTAATTGACTAACATAGCTGACGGAGCGTGGGGCTCCTCACCGGGAGACCGCGCAGGCCCCCCTTTGCCGGTTCGGCCGGGGGCCCTGGGTGAGATTCTAAGCTCCTGGTCTGAGTGTGGAAGGTTCGCGAGAGTGGAAACACACAAGACACGGGCGATGTATACAGGTTCGGGCCGCTGAGAAGCGTAATACCCTACTCCTGTGTTTTTGTGGATCTATGTATGAAGAAGCTACAAAAGAGCTGGAGAACCAGAGAGCTCTTACTCTCTCCCTCTCTAGTCCTTCTGGATCCGAAAAAATCCCCTTTCTAAGTGGGCAAGGTCCTCCTTTTATACCTCAAGGGGATACCACATGCACCATCTCTCTCTTTTTGTGGGGACTTATCCTATCTTTTCATAAACAGACGGAGACTTGTATGGTTGCCGTCCGAATGACCTTCTGATGGGACGGCCCATACCTACCTCCACTTCCGCCGGAAGCAGGCGCGACGTGGGAACATGGCTGTCTGCTGACGACGTGACCAGTGTCAGACCGGTCACAAATCGGTCATTCTTGTCCACCACGCGTCAGTTTATCAATCTGCATGTTCGCCCCTCTTCATACAATGTCTTGCTTGTAATGGTTAGGATGAAGCCTGGTATATATCTGACCGGGACCAACGTGCCATCTCCAGGAGCTAACACGCCGGCTCCGGCTAGGGACGAGTGCTTGGAGGCTCTCATCCTGACGGGATGGGGCGAGGCGTGCGTCAGACCGCCTGTCGCCACCTAACCCACGATCTGACCGGTCTGTGACTGGTCACAGACCGGATAAACGAGCGCGCTGCACTGCGTTACATGCGGCGTGACGCGCTCGTCCAAACCGCAATAAATGTGGTTAGGTGAGCCCCGCTATGCTCACCTACCCCATATACGTGGCGCAAAACCCACAAGGGGTCGGGGCGCCTCGGCCCTCGGGGCCGAGACGGGAGCGGTCCGACCCCTCGGGGAGACAAAGAGAAGGGCGGCCGTATCACCCTCGGGCCCGACCCCCCCCCCCCCCCCCCGAGGGGGTTAGGCCACGTGGGTGATCGTGTCTGCCTCAAGTCTCTAAGTCATGATACTTCCGGTCCCATGTCACCGACAATAGCAAATGCATGGAAATGATAATCATTTGTGCAAGAGAAACAACATTTCAAAGATGAATCCATCCCCCAAAAGACTAATAATGGTTTTGTTGCTGTTGTGAATTTGTGATAATGCAATGAAAGCTCGATTGCATCAAAATGTTGCATGATCAACCGGATCATCTTTGCTGATCCACAAGTTGTCTGCAACTCATTGCACATCAAAATAAATGAAAGGTGAAACTCTTCATGCAAAACTACAAAGCCATGTCATCAAGCGAATATGGAGCAGATGATTTTTGCTTCGGGTGTTATACGCTGTCGGATTCTCTGATTGGCAAAATATCTTCTCAATCCTCCAGGATACTTCTTTTGAATGTACGTCACATCTATACACAGTTCGAGTTTGTTTATTTTGTAAAGAGTAAATTTCACAAAACTACAGATATTATGACCAAATTATCACAAAACTACAGATATAACTCGGTGTATCACAAAACTACACATTTAACACCAAATTTATCACAAAACTAAACATTTAAGATGAAGTGTCACGAAACTACGTGTTTAGTAACTAAATTATCACAAAACTACAGGTTTAGAAACAATTTAGTCACAAAGCAATAATGTTTATAGCTTCACCATAACAATGTTGCTAGGGATTTAAACTCCAAAAGTTGTAGTTTTGTGATAACTTCAATATTAAATACACATTTTTGTGATATTTAACCTTAAATCTGCAGTTTTATGATAAATTTGGTGTTAAATCTGTGGTTTTGTGATGCAACACCTTAAATCTGTAGTTTTGTGATAATTTGGTCAAAATACATGTAGTTTTGTGAAATTTACTCTTCTGAAAACCTCATTGCATATTAGTCTATTTCCGTTGGAGCAGTTGGGGATTTATCAACTCAAATGCCAAAATAATTTCAAAAAGGAAAAAAAATCATTGTTGAGAAGGCTTTGATGAAAGCTGAAAGGTTAGCCTGCCAAATTATACAGTTCTGGAAATGGGACAATTAAATTGACCAATCTGTTATTGCTTCCTAGAATGGGTTGCCAATTTTCTATAGTTCCAACTTTCTCAAATGAGAAAGTCTAGTGGGTTTAGGTCAGTAAATGACTCATACCCAGAAACAAAAATGAGCAGACATCCCCTATGTAACGCATTGTCCTGCAAAAACTGCAGCATGTTTACAGATATTCTAAGAGCAATGCTACGCTGTATGGAGCATTTTCACTATGTCAAATGCGGGTAAATATGCGGGTGCAAACCCAATTTAGGTGAAAACTAGTGTAAACCCTGAGTTTGGAAAAGATCTTTTACATGGTTGTGTAAAATAATCTCATCTACATGTATGATTTTTTTGGGGTGAATTTAGACAACTGTTTGGTCAGGGTTCACATGAGTTTTCACCTAAGTTGCGGTTTCCACCATATATTTACCTGTCAAATGCAGCTCAAGTATTTCAACTATTCTATTATAGATAAAAGCTACCTTTTGGTCCCTCTTTTGGTCTTATCTTTTCCATCTGTTATCTTAAGAAGGATAGTGAAATCTGCAGATTATTAAAATTAAATTATTTAGAAATCCATATCCTATTGAATGTGAAACTATAATCATTTTATCTTTGCAACTGTGGGTTCGTGGGCCTTATAGACCTTGAGGTTTATGATAGTCTTATAGTCCCCCCTCACTGTCCTTTCACCAATCAGCTTTCTTTCACCTTTTGATATGCAGCCCATATTTGCAGGGATTGTTCCCCATATCAAGCGCAAGCTTATATGCATATGTTTTCATTTCCATTATTCCATTGTTTTCTTTTACTCCTGAATACATGACAACTTGGCCCCTTTTTTAATCATATATTAGATAGCTAAGTCCTTACACCTACCCAAAAAAAAAACATTTCTTGTGCGTGATATCTGAACCCAAAATTGTATGCGCCTGCCACGTGCTTGGTTTTCATAGATGTAGTTATGGACCTCTGTATTGAATATTTTCATTCATCTGTAAGGACATTGTAGTTTCCATCATTTTGCAAATCAAAATGGATAAACATGTCGCATGATGCATTTCGCTTATTTCCTATTGGCAGAAATCCTCAGAAGTAATCTACTGGCAGAGTGTAGAGCTAAGGGCATGCAAGTGCATTAGTGAAATCCAAGCATCGTTCACATGGTCAATCCTGCCCTAGAATGGTCCAATCCAAGAAATCCATTAAAACCAGTAAAAGTGATGTCAATAGATGGGCTAAAAAGAGCTTTGAGGTATGAAGTACTATCCCAGCTGCCAGCTTTGCAACTTTGCATAATGTTCTGTTTGTTCACATTTTTCCTGTTCTTTCCTGACAATAGTTAACTTCAGCGGTGAATGAAACGATGTTGAAAAATGGAAATGATTGTATTACGATTCTCCTCCTAAATAAAGTACGCATACTTCATTTGTAGCTAGCTAAAACTTTTGAAGGTCATGTGTGGCATGAAATGGAATATAAATAGAACTGTTCTAGGAAATAATTCTTGTCTTGAACTATGATATCTAGAAGAATCCCCAAATTAATGGTTTAGAATGATGGTAGATTATCAGCTACAGTTACACACTAAATAGTTTATTTATTAATTCTAGTTTTATTTTGCAGCAATGTAGATAAAGTAGACTACCGATCTTATCGTTGCCTGATTAATGGTATTAAACTAAGATTAAATATCAAGTACAAGTAAGGAATAACTAAAATTTGGATTAAAAACAAAAATAAGACTAGAATTTGGTTTCCATGCAAATTCTAAAAAATATATTGGTTAACCATATTTAAAATAATTTTAAAAATGAGCGAAAATGCACCCCAAAGACAATGACTAAATTTAGAATAAAAAAGATAAATTCTATTTGTATATGAATTCCAAAGTTATCCATTTTCTTAAATGTACATGATTTTAGAAGGCGAGCCTTCAGATCTCGGAATTATAACTAACCAATATGCGTGGATAATATTAAATATTACATTAGTATTTTTGTCATTAAAAAATACTTTTGTTTTGTTAAAACAAGGATCTGAAATCATGTCAATCTGCTAATGACCTAAATTAGAAATTCCTAAATAGCTTTTTAGAATAAAAATAGACTTAAAATATCAATTAACTTCATATAATATACAAATAAAACAGAGCTACCCATTTTGTATATTCCCAAACTAAATACATAACTAACTACAACATAAACCAATAACTAAAGGAAGCACGCTAACACAAGCAAAGTATGAAGGCCTCCGTGCCATCCCCCAAAAAAAAATAAAAAGATAATTTGCCTGAACTCGAGGAAGATGAGCTACACATACATTGGAACATTAGAGGAAGCACAATAAAAGATGATAAGGGGGCTGAAAAAATTGCCGTTTTAGATCACGGAGTTTGTAAGCACCACTTGCAAATACTCCTAATTCATGATGTACTACCAACCAATAGATAGTCCTCGTGGAGAGTCAAATACCCTACTTAGAGCAAGTTTTATAGTAGAGGTGATTGCCATGGTTACGGATAAGGCATATCTCCAATCCTATGACTTACGGAATATACGAATACGGTATACCTTCATGTATACAATGTGTTTCCGTATACGATAAGGAAATCTACAAGATACTATGGAAAACGTCCTCACGATAGGCGGATGTCAAAGTCCTATTTGGAGAGGATTGGGCTTTTACTATATCATGCGGGGTCCGTAGTCTTCGAGTTCTACTTGGAGACTAAGGAGATTCACGGTATAAAAGGCGTACCCCTGAGGGGTTTAGATCATCGAATCTTACTACCAACACACCCACCATAGTCTACAAGCTGGAGGACGCGAAGCCTACTCACCGAGAGATCTCGTCGAATCATCTCGACAAGGATCTCACCGATAACGCCGGATTCATCTATTCTCATTGTACTATGTGGTTTTCCATATCAATATCATATAAATTGGATTAGGGCTATCACATGATATCTTTGCCTTCTTGTTCGCCGATGTCGTATCGTGTAGATCCTCGTACCAACGTACCCCAATACCTTATTCATCCGGTCTGCGGGTATCACCCATCGATATGGTCCTTTAATTTTATTCATATTATCTACTCGTTGATTAGAGCAAGTATAATAATGAGCTATAAGTTAGCTATAAACATATGTGGATGAGAGATAAGAGGAGAGAGAATAAAAGTGGGCTACAAATTTATAGCCAATTACGGTACATGCTCTAAGAGATTGTGTGTATATTAGAGATGGGCCAGATATTAATGTTGTTCTATATGTTTATATGAAACTATTGTATGAGTAGGCTATTAGATTTGTTACACATGATGTGTTAATTTTTAGATCTAGCAGTTGGCTATACTATTGGGACAATACAACACATCGCCAATGCACTTATCCCAATACACCACTTTATTTATTTTCACTTAATCCATTAGCTTATTTCTCTCATCTAGGAGTTTGTGTAGATATTGGCTCCTCCTCTCTTTCATCTCATTATATGATCTTAGAGCAAGTTTAATAGTATAGCCCACTACTAGCTCCAATTCACTTATAGCCAAACTAATAGCCAATTCATAAAATAGTTGCTTACTATACTATTAATATATGGTCCCACATGTCATACACACATTGCGTCTTGGAGTCCGCGCTGCAGCTGGCTACAGATCTGTAGCCCGCTGCTATTCTCTCTCATCTTTTATCTCATTAAAATATGTTTATAGCCGGCTAATAGTCTGCTATTGTACCTGCTCTTATGTACTCTCTCCGTCCTATTTTAAGTGTAGTTGTGGGTTTCTGTATCTAAAGTTTGATTGTCCGCTTATTTGAAAATTTCATAAAAAGATTAAAAAAATAAGTCATGTACAAAGTACCATTTATGTTTTATCATCTAATAACAATAAAAATACTAATCATAAGATATTTGAAGACAGACTCACAGATAGTCAAACACGTTGGACACAGAAACCATAACTACTCTTAAAATAAGATAGAGGAAATAGCATCTTCCAATAAGATCTTAGAGCAAGTTTAATAGTACAGCCAACTACCGGCTCTAAATTATCTATAGTCAATTTTATAGCTAATTCATATAATAGTTACCTATAAACATATACTACACAATTAATATATGATCACACCTATCATACATGCATGTATATTGGTGTCCGTGCTGTAGCTGGCTATAAATATGTAGCCCGCTACTCTTCTATCTTTTTTTTATCTCCTCGAAATATGTTTATAGTTGTCTTATAGCCTGCTATTGTATCTGCTCTTAAGGTTTGTACTCGCTCTTTGTACATGACAGAGTCGTGAGAACTCAAGCGCACCCACCAATGGATGACGTACCCATGGATGACGTAACAATGAATGACATATGTCAATGGAAGATTCTTTGTCCAACGGCCTTGATCTTTCATATACGAACCAGGATTAATCGTCCGTACTCGTAAGAGCAGGTACAATAATAGGCTATAAGCCAGCTACAAACACATTACAAACACATTTTAAGAAGAGACATGACTACACAGCTAGTGGTAGCTGGTCTGTCTCCACTCCATATATGATAGACACTATCCAACTATACTTCAAATACAATTTTCTCTAAAACTGCTCATCCGATATACGATCCGATTACACCGTTGTGTTCGTAACAATTAAATCTTTATAACAAGATATCACATGATTATATTTTGATGAAAAAATATAAATTACTTTTATAATATATCTAAATTACTTTTAGATTTCACTAAGTTACTTCTTAGACATATAAAAGTAATTCAACAAAGCCTAAAAGTAATTTACATATACTATAGAATTAACTTATAAAAAAAGAAAGTTACTTCTATAATATATGTTAATTACTTTAAAACTTTATTGAATTTACTTTTATATATTTAAGAAGTAACTTAGTGAAATCTAAAAGTAATTTAGATATATTATAAAAGTAATTTGTGATTTTTTTTATCAAAATATAATTATATGAGATCTTGTTGTAAAGATTTAATTGTTATGAACACAACGGTGTAATCGGATCGTAGATCGGATGAGTAGCTTAAGAGAAAATTGTATTTGAAGCATAGATGGTAGGAATATTTTTTCTACTTGCTTGATCAAGTACTATAGTAAAGTAAGATTCTTCAAGACACATATCTGGACAATGGTTGATCGTATCTGGACAATGGCTAGCGTCGCTCGTTATGACTAAATCGAGAGCGCTCTCGATTTAGATTTTGCGTTTAAGAAGATAAATAAGGAGAAAGAAGAACAGCGGGCTAAAGATTTATAGCCAGCTGTAGCACAGACTCCTAGACGCAATGTGTGTATGATTGGTGGGGCCAGATATTAATAATGTAGTATGTAACTATTGTATAAATGAGCTATTAGATTAGTTATAGATGAATTGGAGATAGTAGTTGGCTATACTATTAAACTTGCTCTAAGCAGATTAATTCTCATACTGCGTTCGACATGTGCAATCAAGATCTCCCGTCCTCTGAGTTCGACATGTGCAATCAAGGATTACCTTCCGTCTTCTGAAAATTTATTCTTGTACAGCGTTCGACAATTAGGGTGAGTTTGAGGAGAAAGGGATTGAGAATATTGGGAAGATATGTAAAACGAGGTGAGCTATTAGCGTATGATTAATTACGTATTAACTATTTAAAATTTTAAAAATGGATTAATATAATTTTTTAAAGCAACTTTCCTATAGAAATTTTTAACAAAAAAACACACCGTTTAGTAGTTTGGGAAGCGTGCGTGCGGAATACGATGTCCTTTCTCACCCTATACCACCAGAACGAACACTCCATCTCCTCCTTTGCATGTAGCCATACATGATGGTCCTTATGGAATTTCTTTTTCTTTCTTTTAATCTATGGTGATGAATTCAATCTATGATGGGGACTAATACTTCTGCATTATTGGGGGCATGGAGCACATGAGAGTGAGGGTGATCTGCTTCACCGAATTAAGGAGAGTACCTGAATATATCAAGGAGCATAGGTAAGGAGGGAAGAGTAAGGAGCCAAGAATGGCATGTTCTTTGTAGCTAATGGATGACGGATTAGCGCGTGCCCACTTTCTAAGCTTCTAAACAATACTGTGATTTTTGCTAATACTTTCTTCATCATTATTTCTTGGAAAACACAAGTTGCACAAGTTGATTAACCCTGTCCCTGCCTGTGTTAATTATGATGCACAAATCTCACCGTACAAGTAGCTGGCTAGCCGGTTAATGATTGACACATTTCTGGTTTAGTGATCTGATTCAGTACCAAATTCAGTCTGAAGAGGCTTATATTTAAGGTGAAAAACGTTCCAAATTTACTGTACGTGTTGCACATTGGTGAAACTAAGTAATGGCAGCAGTAATTTTCTAGAGCAATTTACTCTGCATGATTCCAAATAAATTTTGCATGAAGATAATCCACTTGTATTGACTTTGTAACAATCTCACATGCTTGCTGCAAGTGCTAATATTAAACCGTGTGAAATGTGAGATGAGATCCACCTTGACAAAGTGATAGAGGGCCTGCTAAATTAATTATTGGACTTAGGGGATTTCATTATATGACCAAGTTATGCAGATACTGCCGGAAGAGTTTTTCTGTCAGTTCCTTGCATATTAGTACTAAAAAAAATGGAAAAATCATTTTCCTTTTTTTTATATTTTTAAATGAAGCAAAGAGCAAATGCAGAACAACTTTGGCACTACCGTACCATTATCTCCCTTGAGGGAAAAAATAATACAAGTCTAACTGACTAACATAACAAATGCAAGGAGAAAACAATACAAGTCTAATTGACAGAACAACAATCATTGCTAAAGGGAAAAAGAGAATACAAGTGTAGTTGAGTAACATCAACAAATGCATGGAAATGACAAATCATTTATGCAAGAGAAACAGCATTTCGAAGATAAGATCCAACCCCAAAAAACTAACAATGATTTTGCCGCCATGAATTTGTGATAATGCAATGAAAGCCCAATTGCATCAGACTGTTGCGTGGTCAACCCAACCATCATTGCCGATCCACAAGTTGTGGGCAACTCACTCCATATATTTTGTTAAAGAATTATCCACGTGCAAGGTCTAGCTGGACAACCATCTCTGCAACTGCAACTGGCTAACTGGTCAGTGGTCACTTGCTCCACCCTAAAATACGTACTCCCTCCGTCCAAAAAAAGACAAACCCTGGTTTCCGTGTCTAATGTTTAATCGTCCGTCTTATTTGAAAAAATTATGAAAAAAAATTAAAAAGATAAGTCACGCATAAAGCATAAAGTATTAATCATGTTTTATCATCTAACAACAATGAAAATACTAATTATAAAAAAATTTCATATAAAACGGACAGTCAAACATTGACACGGAAACTCAGGGTTTACCTTTTTTTGGAACGGAGGGAGTAGAATAGTGCTCCCTCCGTCCTATAAAAATGAATCTAGGATCGGATGTGACATGTGCTAGTACAATGAATCTGGACATATGTATGTCTAGATTCATAGTACTAGGATATGTCACATCTGATACTAGGTTGGGTTTTTATAGGACGGAGTGCGTATATATCAATCTATATCGGATTAGACACATTCACTCCAATCAAAATCGATTTGAATCACTTTTTTTTTTCATTACACTATTTCGATTAGACATATTTAGCACTATAAGACCCTGTTTGGATCCACTGACAAATTTTTACACCATGTCACATCAAATGTTTGGACACATGTATAGAGTATTAAATATAGATGAAAAAATAACTAATTACACATATTGCGTATAAATCGCGAGACGAATCTTTTAATCCTAATTGCGCCATGATTTGACAATGTGGTGCTACATTAAATATTTGCTAATGATAGATTAATTAGGCTTAATAAATTTGTCTAGCGGTTTATAGCAGTTTATAGGCAGATTCCGTAATTTGTTTTGTTATTAGATTACGTTTAATACTTCAAATGTGTGTCCGTATATCCGATGTGACACGCTAAAACTTTACACCCTTAGATCTAAACACAGCGTAAATCCCGGTCAAATTCATAGCTTTAGAATGTATATAATCTGAAAGCATATTATTATATTTTGGGACGAAAAAAGTATTAGACAAGAGTGATGCTCTGGTACTCTTTACTGGTTACTACCAGTATCGTCAGAGGTAAATTAGTAATTTACAATTATAATGATTAGAATTTATTTTATCATTTATATTTTTTTGGCTAAATCAATATATGATCATCCATTGTGTTGGCGTTGCTCATGCTTCATCGAAAAAGCCAAAAAATGAGAAAAAAAGTAGTCATTGCTAAATGATGATTATACCCTCGATCACCACCTACTTTTTTTTGATAGTAATGTCCCTTCACGTTTCTACTACCGCTAACCGTGGTGGTTGTATAAATAGATTTGAACCCTTCGATTAATAAAAATAACGGTTCAGGTTGATTTCTACTACCAGTAGAGAGCACCGTAGTGAGGCTCATTTAGACAATATGCACAGCTCCATCCCAAAATATAAGTATTTTTAGCTATGAATCTGGATAACTGTGTGTTCAAATTTATAACCAAAAGTTATTACATTTTGGGACGGAGGTAGTAATTTATAGTCACATACAGTATCCACTGCCTTGCCCTGAACCCTATAAAACACCCTGCTGTTCTGCCATTCCAAAGCGCCATTTCCTCTCGCTTGCAATCTCACCATTAACAGGCTGTACCAGGAAGCATCCATTTCGATCGCAAGAAGAATAATGGGTGAGAGCAGAGGCAGCATTGCCTTCTTCGCGAGCTACAGGCCACCGGTGGCTCTGGACATATTCTGCTGCCCAGCTCCACCGTCTAGCCCGAAGGACGAGCTGCACCTGACGGACGGCGACTCCTACAACTACAACTGCCAGCCCATCCCACCGGCGGCGCTCAAGACGGTCGTGGAGCGCCTCGGCGTGTCCCGCGGCGACGCCGTCGAGGGCGACATCGATTCCGGCCGCATCACCGGCCTCGTCTTCGTCTCCGAGAGGGAGCACAACCTCGAGACGCTCCACATCGCCCTGCGCTTCAACGACGACGGCGAGGTCCAGGTCTTCTCCCTGGCCGACGCCTATGGCGGCGACGGCCTGTTCAGCGGCGCCCGCATGGAGGACAGCGGCTGCATTGCCGGCGGCTACGAGGTGGATGGCCGCACGGTTGACCATTACCTCGTGTATGTGTCCACCAAGGAGCCAGTGCGAGAACGTCGCAGCCCGTGGAACGTCGCTTACAAGACCAATCTTAGAACCGGCGAGACTGAACGCCTCACACCACCAGGTTATAATTTGATCAGTTACTGAATTATATCTTGCCAAAGCTTAGCCTTTTGCCACTTGATAGCCAACAGATATTACTCGCGCTTGGAAATTCTTGATTTTAGTGAGATTAGGATGTACCGCTGGTTTCGATATCTTAAAATATACTTTCTCTATTGATATATTATAGTATTTATAGTAGTAAAATATGTAAACATCCGGAACTAGGTTGATTTTTTTATAAGACGGATGAAGTATGTTAGGAGGGCACATTCGTAGGATATGAATGTAGTATTGCGTATGTAGTTGTATGTGTGCGTGTGCGTGTGCATATGTAGTGTAATCACTGAATAAAGAAAATTTTTGATTTGGTCCGTGCAATTGAATTTGGACAGGAACATTTGATATAAGCCCATCTGTGTCACCATCCGGGAAGAAAGTAGCGGTGGCTTCGTACCAAGGGAAGAAATGGGACGGTGAGATCAAGAACCTCAACACCAACATCTACGTGATGAGCTTGGAGAACCCGTCTCAGGATCGCGAGCGGGTGATCGAGAACGGCGGCTGGCCGTCGTGGGGCAGCGAGGACGTGATCTTCTTCCACAGGAAGGACGGCGACGGGGAGAACAGCTGCTGGGGCGTGTTCCGGCACACCCTGAGCACCGGCGAGACCGTCCGGGTGACGCCGGCGGCGTTCGACTCGGTGACTCCGGCGGCCATCGACGAGACCAGGGTGGCGGTGGCGGCCATCCGCCAGAAGTCCGAGTTCAGTGATGTCCGCGTCGAGGCACAGTACAGGCACATCGAGGTGTTCGACATGAGATCGCCGGAGCAGCCGATGCAGATCACCCGGAACACCAGGCCAAAGGCCGACCATTTCAACCCCTTCGTGATGGACGGTGGCAAGTTCATTGGTTACCACCGTTGCAAAAGCGAGCTCCTCCAGGTACATAGCCATGGCTATGTCCATTGATCACGTTTTCTTGTCCAGTGAAATGGCGGTCCAGCCGTATGCCCGTATATAGTATATCATTGCACTGATGGATAACTAATTTTATTTAGATAATGACTGAGTAGTTGGTTGATTTATATTCAAAGCCGCAGATGATATTATATTGTTTCTCGTGCAGCACGGCGATGATCTCCCGAGAAAATTTCACAAGCTGCAATCCCCACACGAAGATGTCGGTGTGTTCAGGGTGTCCGGTGTGTTCCCAACATTTTCCAAAGATGGTTCTCAGCTTGCCTTCGTTGACAACGAGTTCAAATCCGTGTGGCTGGCCGATAGCCAAGGGATGCGTGTCGTCTTCAAGGTATACCTCCTGCCTCCTGCTAGTAGTTGCTATATACTAATATGTTAATCCTCCAGAAATGCTGTACGAGTAGTCAATATTTTTTTTCAATTATGAAGTGCTAAACTGCTACTGATCATTACTTAACCTGTTTGCTTAGACTGATGGCCCAGACAGCGTCTTCTCACCGCTGTGGAATTCCAAGAAGGATATACTCTATGTGTGCATGGGACCTTCTTTCAAAGCCAGTGAAACGTTGGAGATCCATTCCATACACAATGTATCCACTGGTGACCGGAAGTCGCGGCAGCTCACGTTCGGAGGATTCAACAACGCCTTCCCTTCCACCAATCCAGACGGTAACAAAAACCATCACCAATATTCAATCATCCCGTAAAATGAACTTTTCATAGTTAATTTTGACTGTGTTTTGGACTTCTTAATTAGGAACGAAATTTGTTTTCCGGTCGACAAGAGATGGAGGGGCAAAGTACAGCAAGAACCTGTACATAATGGAGGACGCCGACGCCGGAGAAGGCGAGGATGGCAGCCAGTCGACGGTGACGCGGATGACCGCCGGCGAGTGGACGGACACGCACTGCCAGTGGTCTCCGAACGGGAAGTGGATCGTGTTCTCGTCGAACCGGGACAGGCCGGCGGACGCGCCGGAGCGCGACCACGGCCTCGACCCGGGCTACTTCGCCGTCTACCTGATGGACGTGGCGTCCCGGTCGGTGGTGAGGGTGATCAGGAGCGGGTACGACGTCGCCGGGCACGTGAACCACCCGGTGTTCAGCCCGGACGGGCGGAGCATCGCGGTGACGTCCGACCTCGCCGCGGTGACCGCCGACCCGATGTCGCTGCCGCTCTTCCTGCACTCCGTCAGGCCCTACGGCGACATCTTCACCGTGGACATCGACCCGGACGACATGGCGAGGAACGAGGACGTGGAGGGGTTCGTCCGCGTCACGCACAGCCGGTACGAGAACTCCACGCCGGCGTGGACCGTGTTCTCCACGCACGACCCGCACGCGCAGTGGAACCTCCTCGTCGTGGAGGACGAGCACGTCCCGTCGTGCCCGTACGCGCATCCGGACGGAGGCGAGAGTTGGCACATGACCGGCCAGATTTGCATCCCCAAAAGGCACTGTTAATTCTCTCGCCATTGCATTACTACGTTTCTTGTTTAGAAGCGTTGTTGTTTGTTTAACGTACGATATTTATTATCTGAAGACGTTTTCAGCATTTGCTTGGATGTACAACGTGTGTATGAACTGTTTGCGATGTAATATTTGTTTATTTGCTTGAGATGTACTTTTTTCTTGTCAGTAAGACTTTTGCATAAATCGAAAAAATAATCACACGAGTGTAATACTACGAATTTTGTTGTTAGAACAAACCTGACTGTGTGTAAAACATTAATTCCCAGACAGCTTGATCGTTTGGCCAATAGCTGATAAACTGTAAAACAATTTATTTAGCAATTAGAAAAATAATATGTAGGTAAAACTTGTATATATTCATGTCCCTAGTATAAATAAAAGGCAATACTGAAAAAATAAGTATAATATAATAACCCTCAAAATTTAAATTTCAAGAAATAAGCCAAAAGGTAAACGATGGTTATGCATATATAAAACCTTAAAAACAAGAACTTATACAAATTTCCTAAATAATAACCACTGCTTGAAAGAAAGAAAAACTCACAAGAAACCACAATGGAAAGGATTAAGTTTGATTTACCCCTCTCAACTAGGGTCAAATTGAGAATTACCCCTTTAACTATGATACCGGATATTGGTATTTGATATCCCTGAATTATTGAATCCGGACGAATTATCCCCCACATGACATCCTCTCTGTCTTCTTCTTCCGCCCTCCCTCACATCTGGCAAAAAACACACGAGAAGGAAGGACAGTACAAGAAGCATAGAATGATCAAGTCACTGCGTGAACTGTTCACGATGGAGTCTTTGCTGGCGGCGTTCTTGCAGAGCTCACCGTCACCAGACTATGTCGTCCTGCCCATCGCAATTCATGTTGGATACAGAGTTGTGGCTACTCCTGTCGTGCCGCCATGTGTTCTATGCCGCCTGCGTTGACAGGTGGCTCCGCACCACCCTCATCATGCTCGCTATGTCAGGCCATTGTCTTGCTTCCACATCTGTCGATCTCCGTCATCCTCACCACTAGAGCCAAGGAGCACTCTAGGAGCTTCCGAGTCAAGATGGGCAATGTCAGCGACCGCAGCTCGTCCACAGCCAGCTGCGGCAACAACCTCCCCATCTACTCACTCGATTCGTTCGAATACCACATTGATGAGGAGGTTGAGGCTATCGTCTCCTGCGCCATGCCTATGTCAACCAAGACCGCAGTCCTATAAACATAATTATTGAAAGCCGTATGAGTAGTTTCTATATATATATATATATATATATATATAAATAAATCCTTCTACATAGCAGAAGGAATATATTGTAAAAATTTGCAGGAAAAAAATATTTCTGTAATTTAAAAATAGATATCAAATAAAAAAACTGAGCTTCCATTTGGTAATAATAAATTTTGGTGCTACCATATTTTTTTTATTTGATTAAATGGTTGGATCCGTAATTTTTTTTCATTTAAGATATTTCAAGCCTATCATGTACAGACCAGTTTTAAATTAATTTGTTCAAATAAAATTTTTCTATTTAAACCGCTATGTTTTGAGTGTGTATGTGGGTTGGAGGGAGGAGGGGATTGAAGGGTTGTTAATTCATTTGGATTCAATAGGTTAGGGGTGTCAAATATCCTTGTTTAGAGAGTAAATTACAGTTTTGCAATTATTGAGGAGATAAATCGGACTTAACCCCAATAAAATCGGTTGAAAATACCAAATTACTTTGAAGAAGAATCATAGGACTTATTCTTTTGGTGTTGACACAAGGTACATGCTACATGTATTTTTTTAAAGAAAAAAATAATCAGCTGAGGAATCAAAAGAAAACACTGCTATCTGCAGATCTGCTTATTGTTGCACAGCATAACTGTTTTCGCAATTCATAGGAACGTTTTTCTTTTTTCAGGGAAAAATTACCGACCTGAGCCAGAAATTTAATTGATATTTCTTCCTTCGTCAACCGTAACTTCGTGGACGGCACGAAGCCATCGGCGTCCACCCACCACATCGACGCGACCACACTCCACACAAGCCATGGAGGCGTCACTCACCGTCGCCGGCGCCGGCGCGGCCGCCTTGTCTCTGCGGCCGCAAATCCGCCTTCGAATCACCCAAGCGACCCCTCTGATGCCCCCTCGGCGGCTCCAATCCGGACCCTCCAAGATCCAGACCTCCGGCGCCCGGGCCCACCTTGCGGCGGCCCCCGCGTCCACGCCACCGGCGGCGGGAGGCGGCCTGTACTCGGCGGAGACCTACGAGCTGACGGCGGAGAACGTCGACCGCGTCCTGGACGACGTGCGCCCCTACCTCATCGCCGACGGCGGCGACGTCACCGTCGCGTCCGTCGAGGACGGCGTCATCTCCCTCAAGCTCGAAGGTGAACCCCTAGATTTTTCTTAATCCCCTTGCGCGCGTCACCAATTCTTGGCCAGAATCATGGCTGCGAGACCAAATCTTGCTATGCTTACCACTTACTAATTTGTGGTTTTGCTACGGCATCTATCCAGGAGCGTGCGGCAGCTGCCCCAGCTCGACGACGACGATGAAGATGGGCATCGAGCGCGTGCTCAAGGAGAAGTTCGGCGACGCCGTAAAAGATATCCGCCAGGTGTTCGACGACGATCAGCAGCCGGCGGAGCCAACGCCCCAGGTCATAATTTTGCCAAGGATCCCCAAGACTCTGTAAATTTGGAGCTACCAATGCTCATTGGCTGGATGTTGCAGGCGGTGAACGGCCACCTGGACATACTGCGGCCGGCGATCGCCAACTACGGCGGGAGCGTGGAGGTGGTCGCCGTCGACGGCGAGGACTGCCTGGTGAGGTACGAAGGCCCCGAGTCCATCGGGAGCGGGATCAAGGCGGCCATCAAGGAGAAGTTCCCGGACATCACCAATGTGGTGTTCTTGCAGTGAGCTATCCAGAAAATTTTTACCTCATTGGCATGCATGAGTTAAAATGCACCAGTTTTCGATGGCTGTTCATGTGCTAGTGAACTTGTTCCGATGTATGTTCAGGTGCAATCTTTACAGTGTTCGCAGATACAATACACAAACAGGGAAACGGAATGATACTTGCCTATTGTCACCTCACTTGAAATAGTATTTGGATTTAGGGGAATAATCCATATGGATCGTCAAGTTAGATGTTCAAATTATAAGTTTTCGAAGGTAGCAAGTAGCCAAGTAGGAAAAGCCCCTAATTGGCCAAGTATTAGCGATTACTACTACCTAGCAAGTCTGAAAAATCTGGCTATTGGGGATGATCGAACTGTTAAAAAGTTTGTCTGAATATTTGTCTGAGACTGAAATCTTAGCGAGAAGAGTCCTTGAATATCTGTCTAAAAATCTTGATGACATTGATCCCCTTTACCACCGAAGGAGCACCAGTCTGTCTATAATCTGGCTACTAGATAGGATCAACTTGCCTGAACGTCCGTGGATATCTGTCTAAAAATCTTGATGACATTGATCCCATTCCATTTAATTATCGCCAAAGGATGCATCAGAGTGTCTGAAAATCTTTCGATGTGTGCAGTCCAAATACATGTATATGTAAGATCGAACTGTCTGATGCATCCTTGGTGATTTCAGACTCGTGCATCAAAGACCACATTATTAAACCCTCGTAATGCTACAAAAATCGTCAGCTCTGGCCCGAACAGAAAACCAGGATATGTTGTATTCCTACTGTAGATCAATAGAGTTGTACGGGCACATTAGGACCTGTTTTGAGGAGTTTTAAATTTTGAAAAGTAGCTGGAGAAGCTAGAAAAACCAGTTTCTTGCTTTTAAGTTTATTTTCTGGATTCCATAACTACAACTTTTTATAATTTAAACTAAAAACTACACTGTTTGAAGAAGTTTTTTATTTTGAGAGAGGCTGCGGTTGTCAGAATCACAAACTGCAGACCATCAGTGTTTCCAACATTTCAGGCCGGTGTCCTCTATCTCGTTTAGTACAAAGTACAAACAAAGGAGACAGGCCACCACTAGAAGCGTGATCAGTTCCCCAACCCAAAGAAGCCCATGTTCTCCGGCCCAGTTTTGACCGAACTTTCGGAGGCCGTGCGATGCGAATGCGACCTCTACGGTACACCGTACACGTACAGTCTTACCACCCAGTACTACTCGGCCCGCAGTGTCACTGTGACAGAACAGGCTACAGAGAGCACATCGACCGTGGAATGCGTTCCGGGTCGCAAGGTCGCATGATCAATCCATTGTCGTCGCTACCACCACATCACGTGACATGTACACATATGTTATGGCCGTGTACTAGCCATGTAGGACATGCATGCTGCTCGTTCATTCCAAGGCCCATATGCCTCGCACAGTCTCAGAGATCGAGTCCCACTCGAGCCCCGATTGATCACTCTGCCCAATTGTTCGTTCTTGGCCGCAACCAGACAGCATCAAACCGCTAAACCAGAAAACAATCTTTTTCTTAATTAGTAGACGGTGACTAACCACTAAAATTAATGGCACTAGTACTACTAGTGTACTGTACTGCTACTGGCACTGGCAGGCAGCTCCATCGGTTAACGCATGGCGATTGCCTTGGTTGGAGCGTGCGACCGTGCGTGCGTGTGCGTGTGCATCTGCAGGTCAAACCAAGCGAAGGCAGGCGGCCGCGCGCCCGGCCGCCCGGCCGGCTCGCGCTCGGTGTCCTCGGTGATTAGGCCCCGCGCGAGCGATGCGTTGCACGATGGTGGTGGCGCGGGCGGAGTAGTCGTCGCTAGGGAGGATGAGTTTTTTTTATAATCGGGTGGTGCACGAGCAAGTGGTGGTGTTGGTGGTGCACGTGAAGCCCTATGCGGTTCGGCGTTGGGATTCCAACAAAATATTTTCGCGGGAATGGCGCTCGGATCCGCCCATTTACGCCGCGCGGAGCGGACGGGGGCCGGGGCCCCTTTATTTCCGTTGCCGAACGGCGGCACGGGACGGACGGATGGATGGATGGATGGAACGGCCGGGGCGGCGCCGGCGCGGCTTTGGTTTCACTGCGTCACACAGCGAGAAGGGACGTTTCTACAGCGGGGGAGGGTAGTTTAGGCTGTGTTTAGTTCAGCGTAAAGTTTGGATTTTGATTGAAATTAGAGATGATGTGATTGAAAAGTTGTGTGTGTATGACAGGTTGATGTGATTGAAAAGGACTGAAGTTTGGATCCAAACTTTGAATCTAAACGCAGCCTTACTGCCTACCACCGGTCAAGCCGTATGCGATGGTTTTTCGTCGGTGACTGTATTGTTTTAATTACCCCGGTTTTAGTTGCGGTGCTGGTTTGGGCCAGATGTGACCACGTCGGTGTGTTAAGGTTTCTGTATTTTTTTAAACATGACCTAGGTGGAGCAATCTTAATAGTACTCCCTTCATTCTAAAATATTAACGTAACTGTGTATCCAGATTTATAGTTAAACGTTGTTATATTTTATGATTGAGAGCGTGAGCCGTGAGGCGGCAAATTTAACCTAACCGTGCCCAATCCAACGCCAACCATATGACCGGATCACCCCGGATCTTCAACCGAAGCAGCTGCCTTGCTCGGCCCTTTTTTACTGCACTTGCGTTGCTCTCGGACTATTCATACCAAGTGCTCGGGAAGCTCACACGCTAGAGACCACTAGGCCAGCGCGAGCGCCCAGCTATAGCCCATCGATCTCTTGGAAAAGCCTGAGATCAAATCCCAGCTTAACTCCCCAAAGATTTCCTGACTCCAAATCTCCATCCGCTCCGCAGCTACCTTCTCCCCATATATACACGCGCACTCCCTCCCCCCTCTCCAGCCTCCATGACCCCTCCTCGCTCACCTTTCTCTCTTGCCTGAGCCAAGAGCTACACTTTCTATATCCACCACTTCACCGTGCAAACCCCATGCACACGCCTTGACAGAAGCTGAGCTAGCTTCTCCTGCGTCGCTGCAAGCTGCTACTTTGGTGCGTGTGGTTTGGTTAAGTTCGTGTACTGGTGCAACATAGGTTCTTTCTTCTAAGAAGAGACTACTTGGTTGTAGTCAATTTGTGTCTGCGTTTTGCTAAGCTTGCTTGATGCCGTTTTCCTGCAGGTTCGTGACTGAAAGCCAAATGGAAGATACGGATCAGGAGCTATGCACCGTTGCGGTAAGAACAGCGAGTTATCTGCTATATCTCTTTATGTTTGAGCTTGCGCACTCAAGCTAGCGCTAGCTATTATTGTGATCTCTTGTGTTGATCTTCTTTTTATCTGTCTATCAGGTGGAGATGATGAGTTCAGGAAAACTCAAGCCATGTAGACACTTGTTGTTCTATCAAGACTCCCTTCACCGAGAAGCATCCATAAAAATGGTTCATGTTTAGCAATAGCACGGTGTTATCCTAACTGAGCTTTTCTTCTAGCCACCGTCCACATCCTTCTTCAAAACCTCAACATCACTTTGTGTGGGAATTAAAAGGAATTGGTCTTCTTGACCTTGCAAGACCTTTTCTTGACCTTGTAAGACCCAACATCGTTGTGTTGTTTTTCTTGTTTCTTATTTTTCAATTTCATCCACCTCTTCTTTCTACCTCCCATCTTTCTCCTAGTTCTTGCCTTCTCTCTCGGTCTATCCCTCCTGAGCTGTATTGATCACTTTCTATGTTATTTTCTCGATGTTTAAAAGAAAATTAATTTTGTTTAGCAATATACGAAGAGATTGTGAAATTCTAGTATACCTGTAAATTGTAATATTATTGCTTGCGTGATATAATTTGTAATATTATTATTGCTTGCGTGATATAATGTATTTCTGCAGTCAGAGTGCAGCTGATAGACCTAAGGATGTTTCCTGTTACCACATGTGAAGCTGGAAATCTACCTGTAAGGTAGCTTGACATGTATCACATCATGAACGGAATAAGTTCGCTGTGTGCCACTCGATAACGATTTGGATCTTTGCCGCCTTGCTCACTGTTGGGAACAAGTACTCGTACTCGTTATAACACTGCATATGCAATACACGGTTTATGTGCTGTCATTTCGTTTTTGTTATGCGCCGCTACAGAAGGTTCAGTTCTGTCTCAAACTTTTGTCACAGCACTCGACTGTGTACTACTCGATATTGTCCTTTCTCGCCCATATACTTCGAGTTTTTTTTTATTTTGCAATTACATGGATCATCGCTTTAGTTCGCGGCTTAATTAGCCATTTACTAAACATCTAGGCCTACTGAGACGAAGTTTATATGAATATATAGATCGACCTAGGGAACAAGTGTACTCGCGATAAAATAAAGAATTGATCAAATACTGATACTACCGTACCTTCGAGATAGCAGCACAATCCTGACCTAGCAGAATTATATTGGGCCGTGTTTAGTTACAAAATTTTTCTTCAAACCTTCAATTTTTTCATCACATCAAAACTTTCTTACACATAAACTTTTAGTGTGAACTAAACACAGCCGATTCAGCTAAGAGTCTAAGGAAAAAAGAATATATAGCCATTCATGTTATACGTACCTCTAGCATGCAAATCATTACAGGGGGTCAATTGATATAGCAGTAAGATGTATCGGAAATTTAGAGTAGTCACGGTATATCGAGCAGTCCAATCTATAACCTCCCGTTATTATAGCAGGATTACAGTTGATGAATCAAAACATTGCCATCTAGTCATGTATTTATCCTTACAAATCTTAAATGCCACCACTTAATTATTTGGCATTTGATCTACCGTGTCTGCTACACAAATTCTACTCCCAATTATTCCAATTCCAAATTGGTTCCAAAGGATCTATGTTTTAGAGCCGTGCATAAACATAAAAAAAATTTGGTTAAAGTTACTAACTTATCCTCAGTTATTACACCATGGAAATGATACCCCATAAGATGGGAGTTTTAATTAAATCGTGCAGAAGAGATTAAGATAGTTAAAAAGTATTGTGTCACTATAATATTAGAAATGAATACCCTATTTACTCATAGGAACGGTATAATGCGTTCAATTGCATGATAGGGAAAATGGTGGATATCTATTTTTTAAGTTAAAAATGGGGGATGAGCTACTCCAAGTTTTAGTCTTTTAGAGAAGCGTTGATTACTCTAAAATTTTGAATCAATAGGGATTTTGAAGGTTTAATTAATTGTTGCAGCAAAACAGGGAGGTCTGAAATAATACCATGCATGCAAGTAATAGTGATACAGAAAGTGTCAAGTAGCTGTTCTGACTTAAACAGAAGAGAGACAAGATACGGACAACTTAAACAAGAAACCAAGCAATATGTACACACTCACGTCACTTTAGGAAAGAAGTGGGGAAGGTTGCTCCACAACACTTTTCAGTCAATTCATTAATCATTGACACCACGAATTCTTCAGAAAACGGGAACGCGTAGAGCAAAATGCCAAAAAGCAGCTCTTACATCTGTACTGTTGGCAATACTCAAATTAGCCCATTATTAATTAAGTCATTATCAGTGACACCAATGAGTATAAATACTTTCATGCACTTAGTAAAATTTGCAACAGTATCTGCATTCAGTTCTCAGAACTACTAGTCTGCTACTCTACTCTACTACTACAAAAAATGTATCAGTAATTTGGAGTCTGCCCCTAGTGTACTACTCCATTGAAGCCTGGTATCATAGTGGCAGATCAGACAGGTACGTCTAATTTGGCAGGGCACTCTCACTCAAGTCTGTACAGTAAATGAGCCATTGAAAGGCATGAATGAAGCAACCTACCGTTCTTTCACAGCACAAGATGCATGCATACCTTCCATTCTTGCTACCATGAATAATGGGTGTTACATAAAATGGGAGGATGCAGAATGCTACAACACTAACACATGCTTTATTGATGCATGCCGTTACTGCATGGACTGATTGAATTGGTTGAATTGTGGTGCTCTTCACATGGGTAAGATTGTAGTGTAAGAGACTAAAATAGCACAGAGCTCAAAGGCTATGAAAGTATCATTGCCTTAGACTTCACTTTCCTGTGTGGAAACCACCAAGAGTTGTCCAGGTATTCAATCAAAAAATAATAAAAGAAGAATGAAGGGAACAGGTATTCCTAAATACCTAAAAGAAATAGGGGAAATAAGAAAGGAAAAACTTTAGGGTTCCTTTGGACTGAAATAATTTCAAAGAAAACCTGGAGGATTTCAATAATCCTTGGAAAATTTTTCCTACGAGCTCCTTTGGAACAACGGAATATAAAGTTCTACGAATTTGCTTCCTATGTCTCAATTCCATAGAAATCTAAGCATGAGCTCGTATACCTCTTTTTATTTTCCTTTGAGAAGTCCCATGCTCTCTCCCTACCTCCCTACCTCCCTCTCTCTCTCTGGCCGTGTTTAGTTCACCCCTAACTACTCCAAACTTCCAACTTTCCATCACATCACATCACATCTAAAACTTTTCTACACACATGAACCTCTAACTTTTTTTCCAAACTTCCAACTTTCCTCAAACTTCCAGCTTTTTTCAGGAACTAAACACAGCCCCTCTCTCACTCTCTCTCTCTCTCTCTCTCTATCTATCTATCTATCTATCTATCTATCTATCTATCTATCTATCTAGTATCTCTCTTCCACAAAACAATTTCCTCCAAAGTTTCTATATTTTATTTGTTATGAACCATCCAAGCGTATAAACTGCTTGTGTTTTGAAACCCTATAGGAATTCCTAGTCTGTGACATCCTATTCCTACGGTTTACTTGTTCATGCGATTTAGAAATACTGCATTCTAAAAAGGAGCCCTTAATCTACACATTAGAATTCAAAATACGGCAGGATATATGTAGTCTCCAGGAAGCATGCAAATCAAACACCCATTTTCACAAAATTCATGTGTTTTCAATCCTCTATTTTGTGCATGTATCCCTATCCTATTCTATTGTTTTTTTCCCTATTCCTACGTTTTTTCAATTCTACATTTCAAAAGGGGCCTGAAAGTTAATGCAAATACTCAGGCTGTTATCAAGGCTGTGTTTAGATGGTGGAAAAGTTGGGAGAAAATTGGTAGTTTGGAGAAAAAATTGGTAGTTTATGTGTGTAGGAAAGTTTTCGATGTGATGTGATGGAAAGTTGGGAATTTGGGAGAACTAAACACGACCCAAGTTATATGAGGTCTATGATCTCAATTCCATATGTGGCACTTCAATTTTCATGTCATATATGTGCCACTTTCAGCGACAAACATGAGATTAGGCAAAATTTTAATGGTAGACAGGGATTTTATCCGAATAAAAAAAATACTCCAGGAACAATGCTCCTCAGTCCACCACTTTTCAAGTTTAAGCGTCATCAATATCACAAAAGGTAAAAACACTACATTCTTTTGTACAAATTTTTAAGATGCAAGAAACCACAAGCAATGGCATTCCTGACTGAGCTTTTTATCCACCGGATGCACATTGTTATAGTTTGAAAGAACAAGTTTCAAAAGTCCCAACTATAGGAAAATAACAGAGAACACGGAGCAAGGTAAAACATTTAGTAAATTGAATCAACTAATCAAGGTCCCCTGTTAGATGCCTCTACAGTTCTTTTTAATTTCATATTTTTTTTTACTTTAGAGATGAAAGATTGGTTGAGAACAAGTTTAATAGTAAAGCCAACTATGATCTTATAGCTTATATTAGAGTTAATATGTATAGTAAATGAGCTATAAGGTTATCTGTATTTTTTTTCTCCTCACTCTAGCTCTCACATATGCATTTAATATATTCATCTTAAAGTATGTGAATAGTTAGTTAACTCTTGCATGAGCCAAACCTTTTCATTTTCAAATTCTTTCTTCTCTACATATAAGCTTGACTTATAGTCTACTATTAAACTTGCTCTATGAAGATAGAGGCTATACAGAAACAATAGAGAGAGGATAACAGTGAGCTATAAGCCTACTATAAGCTTATGTGGAGGAGAGATGTAACCCAAAAAAAATCAAGGGTATTGGCTTTCATGCAAGAGCTTAACACAAGCTCCAAGACATACATTAAATGTATAAGTAAGGCCGTGTTTAGTTTCCCCCCTATTCCCAACTTTCCATCACATCATATCACATCCAAAACTTTCTTACTCACATAAATTCCTAACTTTTTTTTTCAAACTACCAACTTTCCTCAAACTTCTCTCTAATTTCAGGAACTAAATACAGCCTAACTTTTCCATCACATCAAAACTTTCCTACACACAAAAACTTACAATTTTTCCATCACATCGTTCTAATTTAGATCAAACTTCCAATTTTGACGTGAACTAAACACACCTTTAACATGACAGCCATGAAGCTCTATGGACATTTATGAGGTACCCACCACCACCATCTGTCCCCTCTAAAGAGAAATAACAATCCCCCCTATATACCCTGGCACAATTGGACAGCTACTACACACAGGGGGTATAGTTTTGTCCTTAAATGCCTTTTTGCTCTCTCCCTCTGCTGGAGGATTGTAGACGCAGCGACATTTACGCACCAAAACGTTTGAAGGTTGTCATGCATGCATGCATGCTTGCTAAGGGCGCAAAGCCTGAGTTTTTTCAGCTCAGAAGTTAGTAGTAAGTAGACAAAATGGATTGAATTCAAACAGTGAAGCGAGCAGCCACTGTGCGCAAGCAACAGATAGGCAAGAATCCACGCCATGTCCAGAAACAGTTGCAAGAACAGGAGCAGTGACGAGTTTAGTAGCGAAGAAAAAGAAATGCTACTGCATTTTAAACTTTGCCCAACAGGGAGACTCAGAACAGGCATTGAAAGCATGCAAGACTCTGGAGGGTATTACTGCCGCAGCAACCCGACTAGTCAAAATCTAATGCATG